TATCTTGCATTATATGAGTAAAGTCATCCACAAGTTTGTGTGAAAACATCTGTTATATACAAGGACTTAAAAGAAGTTAGATATGTATATTTTACAATTCTGGTGGGATTCATATATGTTTATCTTATATAGTAAAGTCCACTTTATTATTCTCTGCCTTCTTCTCCTCCCCCAAATTGTCCTTGACTCTTACAGAATAGGTACATCTTGAATATGTATTGAACTAGACAGTTCTGTACAAATAATAAATAATACAGTTGAAACAAACTGAACTACATCTTATTTTTTAAAGATTTATTTATTCATGCATACAGAACTGGGGTGCAGGCCAGAGGTACAGGGGCAGTGAGAGGGTTCACCAGAGAGAGAGCAGGGAGCAGAACTGGCAGATTGAGGAAGTACACTGCTGAGGGGAGCAGCAGGCGGGTCAGGAGAGGTCTGCCGCGCCATGTGGATCACCTCCTGGGCAGGCGGGGATCGAACTCATGCGGAAGTGGCTTTGGCTTCTTAGTGCTGTGCTTTACCCGCTGCGCCACCAGGGAGGGCCCCTTGAACTACATCTTAACTCTGGAATTAGCAGCTCCTTACTGTATGCTTATGCGCATCAGCTACACCGTAAACCACACAGGTACTACCCTCGCCATGGGCTTCTGCACACAGAAGAGTTAACCCCAGTATGAAGCAGGGGATTTTGTTTGAGAAATACAATAATAAGAATGTTTCACAGACATAAACAAACTATTCCTTTGTTTAAAGCAGAAAACCCAGCTCAATTTTCACTTCTTTAATATCCTTTTAGCAATTTCTGAAAAGCCATTAGGGAAAAACCATACTCCTATTATTTCTGTCCAGTCTGCTTGCCTTAATTTTAATATTTGAATCATCAAGTTAATATTTAATTTAATATGCTAGTTAAGTCTGATTAGATGCTTTCTAACCATCATTTTGCTAGTAAGTTATTTTCTTTTAGCGAATATCCATTTTAATAAATATGATATTATTTCATTTGGCTTATAGTAGGCGATTAAAAAAAAGGAAATCTACTGTCATATATTTTATGTCATCCTTAAACACTGGCGTTTCCTTCCTCACTTTAGCATTGGTCTGGGGACACTATTTAAAGGTCAGTAATCACACATCCATGGGTCCAGCAGAACAAGTGGATGGCAGTATTTCTTTTTTTTTTTTTTTAAGATTTATTTATTTATGCATGCAGAACTGGTGTCCAAGTCAGAAGTGCAGGGGTGGTGAGAGGATTCACCAGAGACAGAATGAGGAGCAGCACAGGCAGACTGACTAAGTACACTGCTGAAGGGAGCAGTGGACGAGACAGGAGAGGTCTGCTGCTCCATGTGAGTCAGCTCCTGGGTAGGTGATCAAACTGGTACTGAAGTGGCTGTGGCCAGCTTGCAGTGCTGTGCTGTGCTGTGCTTTAACCGGGTGCACCCCCAGGGAGAGCTCCTGATGGCAGTTATTTCTAACTGAGGCTCCCAGAGGACTGTTAGAAACTCGCTTTGCACAAAGGCTAATGTCAGCTTACTATTAAGGTTTTGATATTTGTTGAATTTTCATTAGTCCACTGAATTACAGGATGACATCTTTGATCCTTTTGTTAATTAAGCAGTTTTATTTGGTAAACCATATCCGGAGTATGGATTGAGCTAAAATTATGTCAAGAACAACTTCATTCTCTACACTAGGCTACTCTTTTTTCAGGGGGCTAGAATCTTGCAGGAGTTTCCAGGTTTATAGGAAGAGTTGATTTATATCACAGACTGTGTAGAATGTTTCTTGTCTGTGTTCTCTAAATTACTGCAATGTATAGGTTACAGATTTATCTTACATTTGTTACTTAGTTGGTCAGAACTTTACAGGAATCCAACAGCAGTTTTTAGCACAGGTCAGTCTCCAAGGTTTTTGCAATGAAATACACATACACACACAAAGAAATCTATATATATGGACGTGAAGTAAACACATGTAGACACAGTACATGTATATGAAATACATGCTTACACAGATATGCATATATATGTATATGGTATATATATACACACACACATATTTTCAAGAAAATACACTTTAACTCACACATTAAAGAAAATACATGTCAGAAGTAATTAAGAATTGTCCTGCTTGCAGACTGTCACATGGATGAAGACAAACCTGCATTTGTAAAAGACACTTGTCTTTCCACCAGATGAAGTGATGCTTTTTTTTTTCTTATTCCTACGAACAATTTCTCTTCAAGTGAGATAAACAACAAGACCAGAAAATAGAGTTCATCAGAATAACATACCTCTATAATGTATAACAATCAGGAGAGTTGCTGGTGAAAATAATTAACTTTTCATTTGTTTTGTTTTGGTTTGTAACATTGCTTCACCAGCTTATCTGTATCATTTACAAAATTAAGCAGCCTATGCAAAGATAATGGGGTACTGAAAGTATACCCCATGCATTTAGTTTGCATCAAAGGGCACATGATAAAAAAAAATACTTATGAGAAAGAAATTATGCACAGAAACAAAGCTAAATGAAACTTACATTACATACAAGAATAATCTCAATTACCATCATGTACTTTTCTATTCAAATCAATGAGTATGAAACTGTTGATAGATTTTGACAATATTTTACATGTTTCCCATGCCAATTTTAGAAGTTTGTATCATTTATCATTTCCCTCAGTCATGGATTGCTGTATATAAGTATACTACATATTCACTGAGCACCTTATTTTGGTAAGGTCGAATATTTTGCCTTACAGAATATCTTTGGTGTCAGTGTTGTTATCTTCATGGAGAGAAACATGGCACTTACAGGGTATACCTAAGTTTACTCAGTTTATATTTAAAGATTTGAGAATAGATTTCAGCTTTACTTGACTCCTAATCTTCCATTAAACATATATATATATATATTTTTTTTTTTTGAAACAGCTGACAATGAGTAAAAGGTATCTGAAAATAGGTCTGACTGAGCAGGTTAGGAGATTGCTAAAAATGTAGCCTTTAATTAATGACACTGCTATTTCTTATCCCTTGGTGAAACAAACAACTGAGAACACCAACCCGTGTCAGCTGAACTATAGGAACTATAGGGACAGGCAGTTTCTAACTCTATCCTCAGGGCTCACTGTTACTCATCAATTAAAATAATTTCTAATGTTTGGGAGAGTCTTTGGTTATGAAAGGAGCGGGATGGACTGCAATCTTTAGAAGAATGTGGTGACAGTCCAAATGAAAAGAATGAAAATTTGCATGATAAAGACAAGTGCAATACCATGTGTGATTGCTGAGCGATTAAAACTGCTGAAGCAAGTTGAATTTATTTTTCTTTTTGTCCAGTGAAAGTGTGTTGTCTTAGCAAATTTCTTTTATTCTTTGCATTGTCATCCTCTTTTGTTGCTATCCTACAAGGTCTATTTTCTATTCTTCTACAGCTAAATAATCATGACCAATGAAGTGACCTGTTATTCTTGGCATCTGCCCACTTGGTAGAATATGCCTGTGGTTCAGATGCCACCCACACTTCACTCAAAGTACCACTGACAGCGGGACTGGGAAACTACTAACAAAAGAATGTAGTGGAAGGGGCCTGGTACAAGAAACCCACTCATTTGTTTCTCCACCTTTTTCATAGTTTAAGAAATTCTGTTGCTACCAGGATAAGGTAGGTTAAGTAGAGGTAACTGTTAAAATTTCAGGAGGGTGAGGGCCCTCCCTGGTGGCGCAGCGGGTTAAAGCACAGCACTGAGAAGCTAAAGCCACTTCCGCATGAGTTCTATTCCCGCCTACCCCGGAGGTGACCACATGGCACTGCAGACCTCTCCTGACCCGCCCGCTGCTCCCCTCAGCAGTGTACTTCGTAGATCTGTTCTGCTCTCCACTCTGTCTATGGTGAAGCCTCTCGCCTGTACCCCAGTTCTGTATGCACAAATAAATATTAAAAAAAAAAAATCTCAGGAAGGTGAAACAAAGAAGCCCTCTTTCTTATGCACACTTCACCCCCTGCAGGGAGGGGTGCACAGGGACACAGGCTGCAGAAGCAACCTCTGCAGCATTTCCATTCTTGATATCATAAGAGTGAAGTTGCCCTAGAGGAAATGCAAGTGGCATCTAAATACTTTAGCTTGGAAATGGCATGCATCACGTCTGCTCGTTGGCCAGATTTGGTCACATAGTTCTGACCGAAGAAGAGGCTCATGGGTACAGCCTAACCACATGTCCAGTGGCAGTGAGCTGGAGACATTTAGTTAGCAGCAGGGATAGTGAGCACGTAAATAAAACATTCAACACCTAAACAATTTTTAATGAAATCCTAGGGGAAAATACACTTTCAGGCTATTAGAATGGCAGTGTCCAAAGATTGAAAGGGGAGAGAAGACAAGTTTAAGGACCACAGGCAGTTGGTAAATTTATGGCACATTACCCAGGGAAGCAGTACAAGGTGAATCTATAGATTCAAACTGTACTTTGGAAGATTTATCAATGACAAAGATACATCAGGCCAAAAATCTAATGCTCACCTGTGAGGTGAATAGGAAGAATGTAAACTACTGATCTATCAAAGCCTTCTGGTGCCAGATTTAGAGAGATTTGTCGGGGTGACCTTGGAGTTGGCCCATTCTATCATCTATGATCCTGTTCTATAGTTAAGTATCCTTCATATAGCAGTTGAATATGCATCCGTTTGTATTCAGCAGAGAAACATCTTTCAAACTCCAAAATCATAACTTCTGTTAGTCAATTGTAAGGGAAGAAACAGAGCCAGATATGAATACTATCTCACTCAATTCCATTGTGTCTTAGCACAAGAGAATCAGCTTGCTCAAAATCCCCAAGACATCTCTTGGGTGATAAAATGAAGAAACAAACTAGTCACACATATTCCTTCCCTTGTAGTCACGATCAGCAGCTCTGAGTTTCTCAGTCTTCCCCTTTGCTCTATTCTTTGTCATTCAACTCCTGCCTACTTTACTTTCACAGTTACCATTTCCTACTTCTGTATCCCTCTTGTTAACTCCCACTTGTTAACTCCAGAGTAGTTCCATAATTCAACTCCCTAAATTAAACAATCGGGAGAAAGCCGATTATGTAAGTATATAGAAAATAATCTGAGACCATCAGTTATATTCTTTAATGCATTTTAAATCCCTTGGAATGCTGCCAACAAGCTGCTTCATTTTCCAAGGCTCTTTTGATTCCCTGGATTTCAGATTCCGCATCTGTCAAATGCATGCAGGTAACACAGCCCAGGAGGAAAGTGACTGGTGGGGGTGACATTTTCCCATAGTCCCCATGTTCCTGGCAAAGGTCTACATGCCCTTGAAGGATCTTGCAAGCCAGCATGTGGGCCTCTGTCTCCCCAACACAGTATCACAAACAACCTTCCTAGAGGACCACACACGAATCTGCTCACCTCTGAGGACTCAGAGACGTGAGGAAGCACAGTAGTTGAGGGAGAACAGGGGTGGGGAGGGGGCTTTGCTTCATACCTGAGCAGCTGGCATAGCAGCTTGCCAGCGAAGGGAGAGTGAGCCTTTTCTCACTCACCGCAGCTCAGAGACTGGGAGACCCTCCCAGACAGAGGTCACTTGATTAACCCAGCCCACGTTATCCTGATAACAGGGTCAAGGGCTTCTTACTGTGAGGAATTTTCAATTTATTTCACAGACAAGATAGTTCGATCTGCACCAGCCTTTCCTGCTCCCCTGGGGATGCTATATTAGAGGAACTAAGAAAAGAGAGCCGTGTGCTTTGCTGAGGCCTCGCCTCATTTTTCAGAGTCCATCTGGCCAAGGTCCCATTCATCCCTCCCTGGGAGTCTGTTCTGGCTTTACAAGCAAAGGGCCTGGGCATTAGGAGAAAAGTTAGTTCTTCTCTGGTTCCATCTGGATCCAGAGTAAGGCCTTCCTTTCTGTTTGAGCTTTCTTTGCATCATGTTAAATTTCTGCAGAATTTATAACAAAGGAAGTTTGTTGCTGTTGCCAGCCTGGGGCACCTTCTCGCTCCCCCACATCTTTCATTGAGGAACAATGTTTTTCTCTGCCCATTTGACTCTGGAGGGCTTCCTCAAACCCCATAACTAGGAGGTTTAACACATCTGAGTTGTCACTGACAACATTCCACCTTCTGATCACATGAGCTGCTCATAAGAATCGGTGGTGTGGAGCTTTTATGGTGCACCCACTGTCTTCTTTCTCTCTGGGGGTTGTAAGTGATATTAATGGGCACAGGGGCTTCCTCTGTGTTGGCTTCATTCTTGGGAAGACATCTCATGTGGTTGTAAAGAAAAGAGGTGGAGAAAGAGGGACAGGCAGACAAAAGAAAGGGAGTAGTGAGAATTTTGAATGGTTTTGAATTTAATCTCAGGACAAGCTGTCCATGTTCACTTTTCTTCCTTAAACAGGTTTCACTGGGTATGTGTCAATTCCCTCAGGAAAGAGAAAGTAAGACATAAAACTCAGGGCCCTCTCTGGTGGTGCAACAGGTTAGAACTCAGCACTGTGAAGCTATCTGCAACCACTGCAGCACGAGTTTGATCCCAGCCAGGGGGGTGACCCACATGGCGTATCAGGCTTCTCTTGACACACCCACTGCTCCCCTCAGCAGTGTGTTTAAGGACATCTGCGTGTTCTGCTCCCCACTCTGTCTCTGGTGAAATCCCTCCCCCAGCCCCCGACACAAACACCTCTGGCCTGTACCCCATTTCTTATACACATAAATAAATAAATCTTTAAAAAAGAAACATAAAACTCAAAACAAACTACAACAAATATATCACTCCTTCATTTCCTGGGGCAACAGCTTTAAAATCTGGGGGTCCATAGAAGGAAAGAGGTATCCAAATTGATATTTGCAGCATGGTGGAGTGGGCAGGGAGGGAAGTGGACTTCAGAGTTCATTGCAGAAACAGAATTAGAACATCATTCTCTTACAGAGTCATATCACTTCTCCATGTTGGGGTCTAGATTCCTTCATTGTAAATGACTCCAATGAGCAAGAAGGTGAAAAGACCCCGCTTAGGCTGAAACTGCAAGATTCTGAAGGCAGCCTCTGATTCAAGGGTTGTAACACGAGGCTCTATTGTATATGCTGATTTCATTATTGCACTTATTCAGGACACTAACATTCTCCATTATTAAGACACTTTCTTATGTTGCCCCAGGAAATGAAGGAGTGGTATTTTCCTATAATTTGTTTCGAGTTTTCTTTTTCTCTTCTTCTTCTTTTTTTTTAAGATTTATTTTCTTGCCCATTGTATTTTCTTTGATTTGAGTCCTGGATAACATTGATACAGTTGAAATTTCCTTAGACAGATTATGATCTTTAGCTTGGCTATTTACGTTTCTTTAATACTACATGTACATCTGCACAATACTGCATATACACCTGCACACATACGCCCTTTCCATTCTTTTATTTTTTATAATTTCATTTTGTTATTGACTTTGCATGTTAACATTTGTAAGTTTCAGATGAGAATCTAAAGGTACTCATATTTCTGTTTTGTATTGTCCCTGTTTTTTGTGTAATGTCATTCTTTAATCTTCCTTTCACTATCATCCTCTTTCTTTCACTACATAATTAGAAACCCCTTCCTTCTAATCATAATATACCAGTCTCTTCAAGAGACATAAAGTTTTAATTTGAATGTTCCTAGGCCCCTCCCCTATGATACCATGGCCATAAATAAAACCATCTCCAATTTACTATATGTCGAGCATATTCTGCATATTCTATAAGCCAAGTACTTTGCTGCATCAGCTCCTTAATCCTCTCAAGCACTCTAGGAGATGGCTATTGCTGATTGTATGATTAGCTAAATTATTGAACTTTCCACCTTTACAACACAGGCATAATGAATATTAGACTTGAAGCTAGAAACCCATTCTCTTTCTAATAAAATGACTGGACCTTCTGCATATACCTAAAACTAGGTCTCTAGTCCTGAAACAAGACATCTGTTTTTAGTTCTCTGGCTAAATGCCTGATACAGGCTGCCTTTGGAACAGCTTTGTGGCTCACGACTCTGACAGTGTCTGTAGAGGAGGCACCCAAACAGGACAGAATAAATAGGGATGGGAATTCTGGAGAAAATAAACAGTCAAAGCAAGATACATGTTCCTGTACAAGCAAGAGAAACTTCATAGACATAAGCCTCGCAAGGAACATCTAGAAAATATTATATACAATAGTACATAACCTATTCTTCTCCCACAGTTACAGGTACCAAAATATTACAGGAAGCTGAGAGCTCAGAGTGGACAAGGTCAGATGTGAATCTGGTGTGCCCCGTTTCCCAGCCTTTAATTGTAATGGGGTTCACTGAGGCTTCTGGGACAGCCCTCTTCTTCTTCACTTGTGTGTGGAGAAAATCACCGAGGGGAGGCTCCTGCCAAACTTGAAAGCTACTGTTGCATGAAGGGTGAGTGGGCCTTGAGGTAATTTGAGCTGGTTTGTAATAAGGATTTTCCAGGTGGTCCTCAAGCCATCTTGGAAGACTAGAGACCATGAGAGTAAATTCTGGGTTTACTGTAAATAAACTGAAAAGGTCCAAGTACTGGACGAGAGGAATCCAATATTTAGTCCATGTTTAAGAAGAATTCGATTTTTAATCTATTGAGGATCTAAAACTATGTAGTTTCCAACAGAGTAACCAGACCAAGACTGGTCATTTTAACTGAACGGATGAACAACAGCAGCAGCATAACTATAATTCTCCATGGCAGAGACTGGAGAGTCTTCTAAAGTAAAAGAGAGGCAAGGAAACAGATATCGAAGGAGTCTGAGGACAGGCACATGAGCACACATGTATGTCCACACACACACACACATGCACACACAGACATATACACATTAAAAAGGAGGGTAGATATCATCTTATTTGATTCTCATGACACTCTTGGGGATCAAAGTTTGACAAATAACTTCCAGCCACTGATGTTTCCCCCATTTAATATCTCTCAGTGTTCTGTGCACATAGATTCATCTGTCTCTTAGCAAAGCCTGTCGGGAATCCGTACTGTGGATAGGCTGAGTCACTTAGCCCCTGCCTACAATAAATACTCTTGCATGTGTTTTTATTTTAGTAAAATTATTTTATATCACAGGTTACGCGTGAAAACTGAGGGACCAGAAAGTCAGAGCCTCACGAAGAGCTGGTGCCTTGTTCTTAAGCCCAGAATGCCCAAAAATCCCTCAGTGCTGATAGGATGTCAGATTGACAGAGCTGAATGCGGCCTGGGACTCACCTGTTCCAGGTTCTCAGCCGACCTTTTGCTTTCTCCTGTGGGATCTTGATGAGGCAAGACAAAGAGCTCAGCAGCAGTGGGCAGGCCGGGAAGCACTGCCACCAACATGTGCTGGCCTGGAACCCCTGTGGCCTGTGGGAGAGACAGAGAAGCTCATTAAAGTCCTGCAGGGAAGGAGGTGAGAATGGACCAAGTGATCAGTGGGCATTAGGGCTGGGGAGAAGATCAAAGAGGATCGGAGGGTGGCAGGCAGGCCTCAGGTGGACAGGGTAGACAAGGACTCCAGCCATAGCACTGTGCTAAAGTCAGATCACCCAAGGCTGGATCCTGGCTCCCTCCCATGGGGCCTTAAACACTTCCCTTTGCTCCTTACGCCTGCGTTTCCCAAAATGGCCAGTGGGCATGATGCAGTACTTGTCTTGTCAGCGGATGATGGTGCTATGACCTGAGTTACATAGGAAGAACATCTAGTAGTCCCTGGATCTAGTAGCTACTGGTGAACAGTAGCTCTTCCTAAATGGCCCGAGAGGGTGTTGCCCCTGGGAAGACCTGCGCTTTCTGGACTTTGCCCCTCACACCTTAACCTTTTCTGGCCTAGCTTCCATCTTTGATGCAACCTAGATTTATTCTTCAGCGACGAGCCACACCCTCATTGCCTCCCTCACTGGGCTCCTCCGTGACTGACACTCCTCAGGCACTGTTGGGTCTCCGTGGCATGGGAACTCGAGAAGCAGCTCATTTCGCACAGCCCTTCGCTTGACTCTCCAGTGGATTCACAGCTGTCGCTCAAGGCCTTCTTTGCACTAGTTCACTTGCTCCCATTGAGTTTATAGCCCGATGCAGGCTTGAGCTCTTCCATGGGGTTCTAACAGGGTTTCATAACAGTCCGCCCATTTCCAGGAGACAGGCCACACTGGCCAGATTTGTCTTTCTATGATCCAACTCAATCTTGTCCAAATTCTTGCAGAAATCCCCATTGCCAACTACATTAAATATATATCCAAGACCTTCTGCAATGAAGCCACAGCTCACACAACCTCCAGCTAAGAGGAATCCTGTTCAATGCCCCAACCTTCTCCATTTCCCCACAGGAGATTTGCAAGTGCCATTTTCCCCAGAATGGCTTTTGAGTTTCTGTCTGCTGCTGGGAACCCGTTTATTCCTTCATAAGTCTTCTAAAGTTCTCAAATTTCAGTATATTCCTCATGCTTTCCCAGTACGTGACTGTGTTTACGAACCTCACATCTGTATCTTCTATGAGGTGTCAGGGACTGCTGCCTGTTGGTTCTGGAAGAGCGCCGAGACACTCATCACGCTCACATAGTGCAGCAGCTCCTGCAACAACCCTCCCCTGGCCCCCTCAGTCTGCAGGTGAGGACCCAGCAGGATATTAGCTCAGTGGTAGTGAGTGAACTAGCTCGGGTCTCAGAAGTTGCTGCTGACATTAGTGCACCAGAGCTCATTAAGGGGTAATCTCAGGACTAACATCTGGGGAGTGAAGGAAGAAAGCAGGGTCAGGTAGGGGGAGGGGCTGAACACTGATGCAAGCCAAGTACAATCTCACCAGACCTTATAGGGAGTGCAGGTGGCTCTTCAGATTTGTGTGAGGTGTGGCTGAGGTAGCCTGACCTTGTTTTTCTTTTTTAAGATTTATTTATAAATAATACAAGAACTGATGTACAGGCTAGGGGTTTCAGGGGTGAGAGGATTCACCAGAGACAGAGTGGGGAGCAGAACAGGTAAACTGACTGAAATACACTGCTGAGGGGAGCAGTGTCAGGAGAGGTCTGCTGAGTCATGTGGGTCACCTCCCTTTCCCACAATGGAAGTTGTGCTGCAGTGGCTGCTACAGCCTCATAGTGTTGTGCTTTGACCCACTGCACCACCAGGGAGGGTGCAGCCGGGCCTCTCTGTACCTGCAGCAGAGGAGACTTGTCCACAACCCATGGACATCAGGGTGCGGGCAGCTGATGCTTGCGCCCACAGCATTCCCAGCATCTAGGAGTATAGTCTCACCCTCAGCGGGATCTGGCCATGCAGGACAGAAGGAGATGGAGGAAGGGTAAGTCATGGCCAAGGCTTCTAGGTGGTGAGTGGTGATGTGTGGTTGGGAACTGTGGTCTGGCCAGGAAGCCTGTGTTCATGAGATGTTACTGCCTCCCCTCCCAACACCGCCTCACAGCAGCTCCTAGCACAGCTGGAAATCAAATACGCTTTTATGGTCTTACTAAATTTTAAACCCCGAGATTATGTCTGAGTCATCCTCATTACATGCAAAAATGTTTACTGACTGACATTCAATTAAAGATTTCATTGTGAAATGTTAATAGAAAGAATCCATTTGGTGAGGTAACTGGCTTTATCTTGAATTGTGTCACATAATGAAGGGGAAGAAAACCACAAATAAATTGACCTCAAGTTATACATTGGGTCGGGTTTATTAGGGTACCCTTGGCAATGGGACTTCAGGGTTTCAGAAAGTAGCCAAGTGTAATTACTGGGGTGCCAGGAGCCAGGGGCTGGGCGGGTGGCCTCTGGGGATCAGGTAACCAAGGAATCTTCAAAGCTGCACAGTATTCACTCCTCCACTCTTTGCTGAGGAGGGCTGAGTCAACCTGTTTACTCTGCATTTAGGTGAATCTGTTATTTATCAGCTTAGAATACAGATGAGCAGTGATTTCCAGCTGACTGGACAGCTGGTGAAAGGTGGAAGATCAGGGCATCTGTCCCCTAGACACTGAATGTGAAGAGAAATCAGCTTGGGAGACTGGGCACCGCTGAGCTAATGTCTGGTTAGTAAATCAACCAGGGAGTTAGACAGCTGCCTGGAGATCTGTGGGGGCAAGGCTCCCTAGAAAGTGGCCGCTGAAAGACCTATGCCCTGTAAGTCATCTTGGACAGTGGAGGAAGGGCCTGCCTTTGTACCTGGGCCCTTGGACCCAAGGGCTAATGGGTCTTCTAGTTGGGCATGCACCCATGGTCCAGGCACTGGTAGTGTCCAGCACTCTGACTCATGAAGACAGAGGTGCAATGACTCACTCAGAGGCACGTGAAATTCCCCCCATCCACCCCATCTCATCAATCCCTATTTCTCCATGTAACATGGCAAAGGCTGGCAGTAGAGGAAATGCTTATGACCCATGAACTTAAAACTCAAAATTCAAGGCTCGCTGGTCTGACTTCAGAGCCTGGGTTTTAACAATGTGTCCTTGAGTAAGACATTTAATGTCAGTTTCCTAACCTGTAAAATGAGAAGAATCAAATCTATGTAAGTTATTTATTTTTTGTGTGATTTAATGTGTTAAAAAATATGAAGCAGGAGAATGTCTGGAATATCACAAGTGCTAAACAAATTTTAACAAAAGTAATGGTGGGACTATGGGGAAGGCCAGAAGCTGGGTGTGAGAGCGGATTTGGGCCAAGGATCATTCCTTTATCTGCTTAAATCATGAGGAACCATGTATTGGCACAGGGAAGAATGTCCAAAAAAAAACCTTAAGTTGATTTTCCTTTTGGGCTAAGAAGATCGCTGAGAGAGGTAGCTCACTTCTGATTTTCTGGGTTTGCACAACAAACCCAAGCAGCTCCATGAGCAGATACCCCCTTCCTCTGACCATTCATAAAAGCCCAGTGTGCAGTGAGATGTGGCTCAAAGATGTCTTCTTGAACTGCCAGAGGCATTTGCTTAGAGAGGGCCCAGCTCCACCTGGTGGATGCCCAGCAACCTCATGGGTCAGCTTCAGGTTCAAGCACATGTGGACTTTGGGCTCTCACTACAAAAGTGCCCTTCACTACAAAAGTATAGCTCCTTCACATATTAGCTAGAAATGTCAAGCAAGTTGTGCAACTTCTCTTGAACCTCTCCTGCTTAGTCTGCAAACCTGCAATACATTTGTATGGCGCAGCTGTAGGAGAGAAAAGCGTTAAAAGAACTGGCACAAGGAAAAACACTTGGACATGTGTCCATACTGTGCTCAGGCTTGCTACTGGTGCTTGTTTTGTGCACGCATGTCGCGTCTCAGTATCCTGCACAACCGATTTCACACTTGAAAATGGACTAATCATAAAACCTGCTACATACTGTCACAAATTCCCAAGTTCTTTTTCACTCCTCAGAAGAAAAGCTTCCCAAGAGGCAAGAGCTAGGAGTTGACACACATGTGCATGGTCCCCATTACACCGATGTCACACAAGTCAACCAGCCCTCCCATGGGCTCCTGCTCTTGTCTGTCATTTCTTTGCACAAAGGTCCCCTCACCACAGGTTGTTCAGGGGCAATGAGCCTGAATAAGAGAAGGAATGTTTGCACTCACTTCCACCAGGGACTTTTTGATGACCCGGCTGATGTCCCTCCTCCATTCTGGGATGTCAGGGTTGTAGTCGTCCAGATTTGGAGAAAAGGACAGGCGGAGAGATCGGAACTCCTCTGGGGATACAACATGAGGTGATTACTAGAAGTGCAACAGTTCTCCCTAGAGGTCTACTATCCTTTCTATTATATACAGTGCATTAATGTAGGGACCTTGTCCTCTACGCTCACCAGTGAGTTCCTTCTAGAGTCAAATCTGTTATCCCCTCCCTATTATATCCCAGCTTCTCACTGTCTAGACCAAAGCCCTAAGCTCTAGTCCATGTCCAGCTCTGCAGACTGTCCATTTTCCCTAGTGCAAGATGCTCCCTTCCTGGACACTGGCTAGCTGTCCTTGAAGTGCTCTGAATTCATAGCAGGTGATGACCTTGGGCCTTTGCACTCAATGCTCCTCCCTGAATGCCTCATCCTCCAATTGTCCATGCAAGAAACCCTGCAGCTTTGGTTTGAATATTTACTGACACGATACCCAATCTACCATGTTCTCATTCTCGTCATTATTATGTTGTGCACATTCTTTCATTATCATGATAGGGTTTTATAATAATTAGTATTATGAGAACATAATTATAATAACTATTGTAATCATTCTATTGCTGTGTTTTGTTTCCATGGACATTTCATTTAATGGAATTTTAAGTTGCTTACTTCAAAGATTTTGCTAGTTGTCTCTGTAGCCCAAGAGTTAACCCTGAAGTAGAATGGGATTGTAAAAGCAAGATTCTTTGAAGAAGATCATATGTAAGTGAGTACGGGAGGCATCCAGAGGTGGACAGAGCACTGATCGATACGAAGCCTACATGGCACTTACCAAAAGAGAGGGAAACCTGGGTGCCTGCTCTGATGACTGAAGGTTCGATAAGACCGTCAGACAGTCTTTGAGCGAAGTCAGCTAGAACAGTGCCGCACCCTGGGAGGGGACCAGCTTAGCCACTGGATTCAGCCCCACAGTCCCTGTGTCCTTGACGTTGGCACAGGCATGGGTTTCAGAGCACTGTCCCGGGGGGCTGAGCCCAGCACCAATTCGGCCTGTGCTATCCATAAACGCAGATCGCACGGTTCCCCTCTGCCTGCTTCTGCTTCTAGGTCACAGTTAGAACAACGTTCAGGCTTCATGTCCCATTTAATGAGGATCTGCTTTCTCTCCTGCCTCATGGGCTTGGGCTTCTCTGCATCCTGTGCCTGCACCAGCCCCCACTGCACAGCTCCACTTGCCAGACACATGTCTTCTGCTCCTGCACATCACTCAGTCTGTCCTGGGACAAATCCTTCCCCATCAGCGGCTTCGGATGTCCTCTCTCCTACCACCCCAGACACCCTTCAGCCAGGGCCATGTTTGTTGGTTTCATTCATCTGGCTATTTAATTTTTTTTTTTTTCACTGTCTGTTTCTGGAATATAAGCTCAGTGACAGAGGGCATGGTGATTCTGGCCTTTTGAGCAAGTGCAGCTTGTGGTAGACTTTCAATGATTATGTCTGAATCATAGAGTTAATACATTTTTGTTGAATAAAGATAAAGAAATACATAAATTACAATGGAGGTGCTCTGCAATTTATACATTTACTTATTTAAAAAAAAATCTTTAAGTATGCCCTTGCTTCAGTAGAGACTAAGCAACGTCAATGGTGCCTACTACATTCAGGAACCATGAAAAGCCCACTTGAGCATTTTCTAACAATGCCAAAGACTTATAAAGCACAAGTTGTAAAACATCTTACATTGTAAGGTGGGTGTTTGTGACAGTCTGTTCCAAGGACGTGGTTTTCAAAGGCTAACTATTTTATGACTCACTAGTCACCTCTGTGAATATTCCAGCTTAGTGCCAGTGGAGAACAACAAAATACTTATCATTATTATGGTAAACAGCAGCATCAAGGAATTGCTAATTGAGTCATACCACACCTCTCTGAAGACACTTTCACTTTGCTCAAACACTTTATCAAAATATAGAGAGTTCATCTACCAGGTAAAATGTTGGCTTAAAAAACGCACACATGCACACACAAATGAGAAAAGTGATGACATAGCACCCTAAAATAGCAGGGCAGGGAAGAGGGATGGCAGAGAAATGTTATACTTAAGTTTATTCAACAAATGGAGGATGGATGTGGGAGGACAGTAAAGGGTAAATCCTAAATATATACATATATTTCCAGCAGCTCGGAGAGATGAATTCTATAGCTATATGCTTCATTTTTGTATTTAAAAGCAAATGAAGGAAGACAAGACAGAAAGGTCTCTTCTGCCACATGCTGGGTGGTGAGCGGTCATCTTGCTCTCTCAGGCCAAGAATGATGCCTCCCGCAGGCTGATCACCATGGCCTCAATTTTCCCTCAGTTGGATTGAGCTTGAACAGATTTACTCCAGACTGCAGGCTCTGACAGCCCCTGGAGAGCTGACCTGAGAAACCCTGTAGTTGTAACTTCATTCTCTGGCTCTTGGAGAGGTATCTCTCCTACCACCCAAGAAGGACTTTCTCTAGGATCTAGACTTTCTTCAAATGTAATCAGAAAGAAAGGTAATTCTCCTCTCCCTGGGAGAGCAAAAGTCTAGCTTCCAGAAGCAACATTAACAAATGCAGATTGAACTGATATCTCCTCACCCCTAAATTCCTCCATTAGTTTTTTCACTAATTCACTCCAAAGTTAAAAAAAAAAAATCTTCCTGCCTTTTGTATTAATCTTGCTTGTTTAATTCCATGTGATACAACTTTCCTTTAGTAGGTCACCCTGTCATTAAATCTTCTAGTGATCTTTATGAAATTCTGGACATCTCATCTGATGGAAGATGAGTGAATGGCATTTGAAGGCTAAGAAATTTGGTTAAAGGAAGAGGAAATCACCTCCTCAGCTCCGGTCTTTGAGACTTTTAAAAATGAAGATAAGCCGGCCCTCTCTGGTGGCGCAGCGGGTTAAAGCACTGCACTGAGAATCTAAAGCCGCTTCTGCATGAGTTCGATTCCTGCCTGCCCCGGAGGTGACCACATGGCGTGGCAGACCTCTCCTGACCCGCCCGCTGCTCCCCTCAGCAGTGTACTTCGTTGATCTGCCTGTTCTGTTCCCCACTCTGTCTCTGGTGAAGCCTCTCGCCGCCCCTGAGCCTCTGGCCTGTACCCCAGTTCTGTATGCACAAATAAATAAATCTTTAAAAAAAAAAAAAAATGAAGATAAGCCATTCCATGAAGTGTGAGCCACTCCTTGGTGATGCTTTTAGAGATTCTATTAAAAGGTAAAACTACACATAGCAATGGAGTAGAAGGAGGTTACAAATACTTTCCCTGGATTCAGAAGTGTTAGACTCTGTTTGCTATACTTATCTCGCATTTTACCTCATTTATCTTATCTCATTTGGAAAACTGGGATAAGCATAATATATTTCTCTTGGGTGTGTTTGGACCATTAAGTCCTATATATCAAGTGATTAGAACAGAGGCTGGTAAGGGCTCATCAATGTTTATTACCACTAGTGCTATTACCATTGTTATTAATATCGGATCTGTCACTGAACAGTAGGATAACTTTAGGCCAAATTCCCACTTCTGGGCCACAATTTCCTATCTGTGAAATGACAAGTTGGGCCAGACAGGCCTGAAAACATTCTAGGTTTACAGCAGGCCTCTTTGTGATTGTACTGAGGAGGCTGCCAATCCACTTAAATATGAGGCCAGCTGTTGAAGGAGGGAGGATGTCTGAGACAGCTGTGCCATGTAGGGAAGAGAAAAAGGAAAAAGAACTCCAGACAGAGAAGGCAGAAGAGCCCATCACGCTGGAGATTACGGATCACAGATGTTGGGTGGACACGGGCTGGGCTGCCTGTCCTGCTCTCCCACTGACATTGGGGCCATAGCGTTGCTCTCCTTGTATTAGGGTTGTTGGGATTAAATGTGTTCCCAGAAACTAGAAAGGAGATGGAGAAGGAAAAGAGAAACAAAAACTCTTCCCTTTGGGCCACCTGGTGGAGAGGTGAAGGGATTTTGTTAGGAAAACTAGAGGCCTGGTTGATTTTCATTTCCTCTTGGGGATGAACCAGCTCTCTGGGAGTTTAGGGGTGAGGATGCAGAGAAATACAACAGTCAGCCATGGGAGGAAGTGTTCTTGGGCCTCTTCCAAGTTGTTTCCACATTACTTTCTGAATTTGAAGGTCAAGTTGGCAAGATGAGAAATGATAAATAGAATCTGCATCAGAATCAGTTAATTCTGGAACTGGGGCAATTGATAATATTTAGACCACCAGCACGCCCCACTCTCACCCCTAGTCTCTTCTCATTTTCTACAATGCACAGCATTTGTTTTCTCTACATACTTTTACATTCTTGCTTTTCACATCTTTATCTTTCCATGTTATGTATGCACAGTTTCCATATGAACAATAAAAATTTACATGTTCACCATCTACTAACAACAGTACATCCACTGACAATCAGGAAAAAGTTACCAAAATGAGATGGACTGGTATAAGCTGCTGGTCAACCTTCCATTTCATCAATGACTCCACCTTTTATTTCATTTTCACTCCATCTAATACTCTGTTAGTTCAAACCAATACCACTCTACCATGATGCCTAACATCTGCTGTTTTAACCATTCTATCACATTTTGATAATACAGATTTGTGGGAGAAGTTTTCAGAGTGCTTGTACATTGGTGGAGTCCTCTTATTAATCAAGATTTACAAAGTTGAAAAATTCAAGAAATCCCTCACTATTAACCGTTTGTCTTAGATAACATGCTTTAGCTTTTCAAACCCCGCTGAAATAACCAATGGCATGAATTAACTTTACAATGAAACTCACCCTACCTGATCACAGGTGAATTCACATTAGAGAATCAGACCCTCTCTGAGAAGACAAAACAAGAAACCCTCTTGGGTTCTTGTGAGCACATTTTGCTGGTGAACAACATCTTCCCAAAAGGGGGAGAAAAGTCTTGTCTGCAATCTTTCTCACTTCTTCCCTCTGGTCTCTACACAGAGGTCAAAATCCAGGCAGCCTCCAGCACTGTGGCACTCCACACACCCATGGGAGCACCAGGCAGCAAGGATGAGGGAGAGGGAGCACTCACCGTAGACTGCGATGGTCTTCGTGTCCTGTAGGATGGCATTCCCAGCTGACACCTGCACCGTGATGGTGTTCATCCCTTCAGAAGTAAACTTGAAGGATATGCTTCCCTCCAAAGTGATTAAGGGCTGAAATGAATGAGGCACGGAGTGAGGGGAAAGATAAGACAGTCATTTGTCAAGAGTTGAGAGCCCCAGAGAGGCTTCCCAGTGCAGCCCAGTAGGACTAACCCCATCATCACAGGCCCAGGCCAGAACGGGGTTAGGGCAGCCATCCCCTCAAGGACTCGGCCCATTGCTCGTGAATTTCACACCTCCCTTCTGATAGCGTCATGACTCAGTGGCCTGGAATCAGCAAGTCTTGCCTGAAATGGGATACATACCCCTGATGGCTAATCTACTGATACTGAGCACATCCCTTAATCTATGGGGATATTCAAAGGAGACCCAGAACAGGAGGCTCTATTTATCCAGATTTAAGAAGCCATCACCAAACACCTATAACTGCCCTGTCCTTCTCTGAGGAAGGGTGCCCATGTAAAGTTATAATGCACACAGCAACCAGGGGCACCAAAACAGCCTTACGTAGACAGGAGCAGGAACAGGAGCAATGTGTATGGCTTGGCCTTCTCAGCGCAGGGCCTAGCTGTTGTGTCTAGAAGTAGCTGCTATGGAAACAAGTACTAATTGGATAGTGGTTTGAGGACTCAAAAAAAAAAAAAAAAATGACTTGGAGTCTTGCCTGTAATACAACTGGATGCCAGGGTCTTAGAGGAAAAGATTATTAGCACGCTGACCTCCCTTGAGAAGCATTTCTTTCCTGTCTTTTCTTAATTAATTTAAAAATCAAAATTCATTTAATTCCCTGTGTAGCTGAGGGAAGACTAAGGTCCAGCATAAGAAGTCTACTCAAGACAGCCCATTGAGAATTTATTTTTCTTTTAAAAAGGGAAAAATAAATAGGAGACACAAAAGGAAACCATCTATTAATTTCCCCTCCCCAGACTAGCTTCAGGCAAACAACACAGATGTCTGCTCTTCCGCTGGGGGCGGTGGGCCTGCTTGTGGTCTATTCCACATGCTTAGTTGCAGCAGAGGTCACCTCGGCTGTGTGAATGGTGCTGGTGAGAGATCCTTTGCCCTGTCAAGCTCCTGTGGGTCTGTGAGGGGGAGGCCGCTATTCCAGACCTTTGCAAAATGATGTCTCCAGGTAAAACCAAAATTCCCTTTTGGGGGAGAAAAAGATTTGGGTTTAAAAATAAGATGTGGCCCTCCCTGGTGGCGCAGCGGGTTAAAGCACAGCACTGAGAATCTAAAGCCGCTTCCTCATGAGTTCGATTCCCGCCTGCCCCGGAGGTGACCACATGGTGTGGCAGACCTCTCCTGACCCGCCCGCTGCTCCCCTCAGCAGTGTACTTCGTCAATCTGCCTGTTATGCTCCCCACTCTGTCTCTGGTGAAGCCTCTCACCACCCCTGAGCATCTGGCCTGTACCCCAGTTCTGTATGCACAAATAAATAAATCTTTAAAAAAAAAATAAGATGCACTGCATTTAAGAGCCATCACCAAGCGAAAGGCAGGCTGCTGAGGGAAAGTCAGTATCTGGGTCCAGTGCACTTCACCTGCAGCCTTTGGGCCAGGCTTCGGGACAGAAGTCCTGTTGCCTAGCTGGCATTTGGCAGTAAATTTTAATTTCTGAGAATGGAGTGAGATTAAACAGAGACAGGCCAGGCGGCCTGAAGTGAGGGGAGACAACTCACTCACGCAGCAGTAAGCAGGTCCTGGCTTGGACTCAGCAGGAAGCTGGAAGCAAGGCCAGAGCGAGCCCTTCCTCGGCCTTAGCCTCGCTTTTCTTGTCCAGAAAAGTCAGGAACTAGGTTTAAGGTTCCTACTGTTTTTCTAACTGAGGTTTAAGGTTTCTACTGGTTTTATTACCGCAGCAGATGTTTCATCCCAGGGAACTGGGGCAACAGAAGGATACAGCTGAGAGAAGAGGGGCAGCCATGACTCAGGGTGCGGAGGCCATGGGGGGTGGTAGGGGGCAGCTGTTGCTTCTGCCTCTCTGGTCTCCTTTTGCCTCCTTGTCTTATGGGTTCTTCTTCCCTTCTTCTGGCCCATGATGTTTAAGGAGGCTGACTTCAACACTTGTCTCTCTGGCCTCAGCAGTGTAATCAAGGCCTGGCCAGTCTGACCAGTAATGCTAATTCCAGAACTCCCGTAACCATGGGGAGAGTTTATTTTCTCTGCTAAACTGTGGGGATAAAAGGCATGGGCCACTGCTAAGATTCATCATGAAGGCAAAGTCCCACAGGAGACGAAAATGAACACTGAGCAGGGAGGCAGCGGGGAGGGGCAGGGGTCTGGTGGTGGTGGGGGCAGGGAACAGTGATGGAAGCACCAAGCACTGGCTGTCCCCAAAGACAAGACAACCTCTAAACTGGTGCTCCCCATGCCATTGCATTCCCAGGCCTCTTTGAGCTGAGCTGCACAGTGTGCTGGGAGGGTGAGGGGGTGCGGGGGGGTCGCACCTCAGTGTTGTTCCCGTACCACCACACGTAGGTGAGGGTGCCCACTTGGCTGGGCCACAGCACAGCTGTAGCGTTGACCTCCTTGTTCTTTGTGGTGACGAAGGGGAGAGACAGGTGCACATGTTCCAGGGGACCTGCAGCAATGAGAGAGAAGAGCCATAGACAGGGAAGCGCTTCCTCTGCCTCCTCATCCCTGCTCTGGAGACTTAAAGTCACCAAACAGCTCCCTGAGGAAAGGGCTCGCTCTAGACTGTCCCTCGTGTGGAGCAATAGATATGTCATGGCGAGTTGTGTCTCAACATTTTCCATGATCTTTCTTCTGCCTAAAGCCTGAATTCTTTATAAAAATTAAATTTACAAGTAATTCATGAAGTCTTCAAATGAATAAGCAACTATGTAAGATTTCACAGGGAGATACAAATCTTTCCAGGAGGTTATTTCCTTGGTGGTAGAATAGAATCAAGACTCTCAGAGACTTCAGGTTGGGGGAGGGGTACTATGTTGGACAAACCTCCCAAAGGACTTTAACGATCTGTGTGAGTGTGAGTGAGTTTGTGTGAGAGACCATGCCTGGCTGTGAGTCCTTGTGAGTGTGCAAAGCCACTGGCTAGGTGAGCATGGAATAAACTGGGTTTGGTGTTGAGTTTAGTCTGTCTGGGACATGGGCATGTGTGAGTGGGAAGAGAATGTTCGGGGTTCTCAGCTTCTCAGGAGGTGAGAGGATGATTCTACCCAAGGAGGTCCAGATCAGAAGCCTTAATCAGATGTTCAAAACCACAAAGATGTCCTCTTCATAGCGATCTACTACGGCCTCCCCTAGACCCCCCGATCTTCTCCTTGAGAGACCATTCCTGGGGAAACACAGCTTCCTCTGAGGTGAACCTGACAAGAAGTTGCCATCCCCACCATCACCACATGAGGTGAAAAAGAAAGGGGTAGTCAGCCCTTCCTGCCTGGTCCACTCACTGCCTCTTCAGCTTGCACTCTCAGTGTGTCTCGGACGCTACTCTGTCCCTTCCCCTCCCTCCATGTACTCCTTATCAGAGTAATCTCATCCACATCCTGATCTCCAACTATAAACTACACACTTACAGTTCCGCAACCACCGGGTTGGTGCAGGCCTTCCTCCACAACTGTCTCTAAAGATACTGTTCCTTCCCCCACTCTAATTGCTCCCCACCAAGGAGCCAACACCAACGTTTATTCTCATGACAATGCTACTGACGCCCCTTTTTAGGGATGGTCAAGCCAAGAAAGGCAGTTTTTCCAAATCACAGAGCTGGGTAACTTGAGTTACAGGCTGTGAACCAAAGCAGCTTGAGTGCCCATGGCCAGCTAACATGAGTTCTAGTTGACCTTGGCTAGGAAACAGCTAGTAAGTGTCCCTACTGGCCAATGACTTAACAGGTGCCAGGCGCTGGGGATGCAGTCTGCACAGACCCTGTTCACTGCCGGATCTTCTGACCCCTCTGTCCCATCCCTGGCTCCAGCGGGCTGTGATTTGTCAATGCCCAGGCCTCTGATCACGCAGCTTCCTTACAGCACCCATCCGTCTCCAAGTCACTTCTGAGCCCCCCCACACCCCCAAGGAAGCCTCTCTAGCTCCCCGGCTTTGGGTTCAACACAGCACTTAGACCGTGAAGACACAATAGCTTCTGCTAGACAATGTGGTTCCCGGGTCAAAGGATTGATTTTCTTTGTTTCACTCACATAAGAACATTTAATAATTTTCAAAGTCTGATTATGAAAGTGATAAAGATGATGCTGATGTGTTGTGTGACATAAGTTGAATCCCAGTAGTGACATATGGTCGTTCATTCACACAGTGCATCCAGCACTGTTCTAGGTGCTGGGGACACCCTGTCCTGGGAAGCCTGTGTGCTGTGGAGGGAGGCAAGAGAGTGGTGTCTGGGACAAGCAAAGTCTCACAGAGGGGCTGATGTTGGAGCAGCAGCCTAAATAAAGTGAGGGCATGTATCAGCCTGAGGAATAGCAAAGAAGTGCTGCAGGGGGGAGCGGGGAAGGAGTGGGAGCCATTGAGGTCTGCAAGACATGCGGGACACTGCTGGTGGGTCTTGTAGGGCCTGGAATGTGTGCATGTGCTTGCATGATGTCACTCCTGCATGAATATGCATGCACACACGTGCATATAGGTGCAGAGTATCTACACATATAAATGAATGTATATACATATACAACATATAAATATTCCAACAGTATCTTTGCGATTCCCACTTCATCTGGTATTCATTTGCTCTTTATGCATTTAATATACCAGGATCCTGTTGCCCCAAATCCTGTCTTTTAAGCATATGGTTGGGGGGCAGTCTGTCTTAATGGAGCTCCGGAAGTGAGACTTGTGGTCACTGCCTGATCTTCCTACCTCTCTGTCCCATCCCCCTTGGCTGGCTGTTGGAAGCCAGCGCTGACCAAGTCAGCAGATGCAGTCGTCAGACAGGCGCCTGCAATGTGCAAAACGGTCGGCAGGTGGCGATGCAACATTCCATATGAATCTTCTATGAATCTTCCTAGCCAGGTGTTTGAGAGAAGTGGGGAAATACTTAGGTGAACTCGGTTTCCTCTCTCATTAGTTCTCCTCTGTTGCTGGAAATAGCTGAATCTGTGACAATGACCATGGTGGGGTGTGTGTGTATGGAATGTCTGTGTTTTGCATCTATAGTTCTTCCAGAGACCTCTTTGAGACCTCTTTAGACCACCTACTTAATGTTTATGTATCATATTGTCTGAAACACAGAAGAATCCACTAGGAAAAATGAAAGCAATTTACATGAAAATGAGACCCCATACAGAGTTCCTGAAATGTCAGTGTGTACAAACACCTCACTGCTGGCATTCCCTAGATTATGAGGCTGCACTTCTGGGCATGCTAATTCAATAGGCTGTGGTACATGACCTTTGTACCATGTAATTCTGGGGCAGGTGGCTCATTACAAAAAAATTATCACTTTCCTCTGGTGGGAACAGAGAGACATCTGCCGATGGCTCTTACATGGGGGCTAATTGAGAAGAGCAGTTTGAGAAGGACTAAATACCCACCTCCTCTTTTCTTTTCACCTCACATTCTGCAAGTTCGCACATGCTTAGGGACTTCTTTTTCTTCAAGACTGGCTGAGATAGAACAATTTTCTGAGCAGAAATCTGCATGTCCTCAAACCTCTGTCCCAACCAGCCGAAGGCAAGCCCGGGTGCGCTACGTGGTGTCTCATTAGTTTGCAAACTAGCAGAGCACAGCGAAGACTATCCCCAAGGAGTTCCTAGCTGTCAGGCTACACCAGATTACACTGCCGCCCACGGAGAGCTGTCGCCATGCCTGGAAATAGTACAGCAGGAAGATCATCTCCATTTGTTTCTGATGACCTTTGCAAGCCATAGTAAGAAACCACAACAAAAAACCTCTGTTTGGAATTAAATCACCTTTCGGAAGTGGACAGTAGAGGGGTTTGTATTCCAGACAGGTCTCTGGGAGAGACCCAGGCAGGCCACCGGGGGCAAGGAGCAGGGGAGGGCGGGCTGCAGGGCTGGTGGAAGCGGCCCTCCAGTGCCCCGAGCACAGATGCACGTGCTACTTTGTGATGATAGAAAATCAGACTTCGTTGGTTCACAGGCCACAGCGTATTTTGCTTGGTAGACCCTTGAGGAAACAGGACATGCTTTTCTCATGTGAGGGAGAAAATCCAGGGTCAGAAATGGAGCCACTTGGCCAGGAGTTTGGGCTGCCATCTGGACCTCCTAACCCTCATTCCTATGGCAGGTTATTTCTGCCATAATAAGCGTCTTGCTACTCAGGATCCAGAGTCATGGCCTTAGGCATCTCCTCGCCTGTGTACTGAATGAGACCACCCTTAGAATAATGTGCTCAATGTGAACTGGGAGTCTCAAAAGGGTATTGACGAAGATGCATATTCTGAGGAGAGTAGAAAAAATGAGGGAGACACAATATGGAATTTACTATGTAATACTAATCCCAGACTTGAAGGGCAAAGTCTCTGTAAAGGACATTATTCGATGAAATTACAAGACTAGAATAGCAACGATAGATTAGATAAAGTTGTATCTATGCCGAATTTCTCCATGTCAGTAACTGGACTGAGATAGCTCTTCCAGTTACACACCCAGAGACATAGTGGTGAAACACACTATCTGTGCAACTTTCCTTCAAAGGTCTCAGGAAAATGTATGTGGATGTGTTTTCAGTGTGTGAGAAAATAAAACATAAAACAAAGAAACATGTTAAAAAGTTAACTTGAATCTTTGTGGTTCTATCATCCTAAATTTCATGTTCTTTTGGGTCCACCTGCAGTGATGTGGAGAGGCACAGGGCTGGCAAGGCTGAGTGATGCTGACCAGAGCCACCACTGCGGCTGGCAGGAACCTTAAAGTTCGAGAGCTGGAGTCCTTGTGACTGGCAGGCTGGATGGAGTCTGAAGCCCGGTTCTCCTAGGCAGCTCTGTGACTCCAGATGGGCCATTAAATTCTCTGTGCTTCTGTTCTTTGCAGATTCTTCAATACTGCCCTCTTCACTAGGTTGTTTGGAGAAGTGAGATCATACCCATAGACATAATTTAGAACAACATCTGACACCTGAAAGCTTAATGAAGTGAAGCTAAAAAAGGGGAGGTTGAACTGGCTTACTGCAAGTCTTGTAAACCTTGATTTCAAGAAAGAAGGGAGAGTGTGTTTCTTCAAAGCACCTACCTATGAGTGTAGAGGAGATAAAGGTCGAGAATTATAGGGAGACCAGGAACCCTTAGTAACAAATAACCTTTTGGGGGACCCCTAAGTAGTCTTCTCCCACTGGAGTAGAACAGTTTAAGAAAAGATTCTGGATGCTACCACCTTTACTCAATTTGGTTTGATGGATAAGGGGAAGGTGATTACTGCCCTGTCTTCATACTCTTGGTAAAAATAAAAACAAACTTGGTATTAATTTGAACAACACCATGCATAAAAAAGAAGTACTTTCAGTTGAAATAAACCATTTCTCTAGCAACCAAAATGAGCCTTATGCCAGTTTGCTGCTGTCTACACACCTACCATGAGAGGCACTCATAGAACGTTTTTTACCAAGCCCAACAGAGGCGCTATCACTGCCTTGTTCTATAGATACCTTTACATCCCTCCATGAGGGGAACATGCATTTCTTGGAACTGTGTTTCAGCATAATTCCTTACTGTAGCTTACACTCTTTCTTTTGCATCATCTTCTTTCTAATGTGCAATCATTCACAAATAAAAGCTAAGAAAACAGAGTTTAAGAGCAAAGGTCTAAAAAGAATGATTCCTAGAGATAACAGGGGGAAAGAAGAATAATCAGGCAAGGAGAAATTCCTTGTGCTAAATCTCAATGCTTTGGGATGTTTTCAAACATTTCTGAGCACCCCCAAAAATTTATATTCACCCAAACTTCTCAGTGAGCTGCTCAAGCTCAGCTCCAACAGCTGCTGTATCTGCAGGCGCCCAGAAGAGGCAAAGTGGAGGGAGAATAACTGGAAGCAAAGTAGGGTTCAGGTTATTTAAATCCTACTCCCGGGTTTGTTTGCTTTCTCCCCACTCAGCTCTCTTATTCTCCTTTCCCTTCCGCTGAAAGGTAACCATGAGCTTCTTCCAGGCAGGAAACCTCAGGTCAAATTTCAAAAGGACACAGTATTTAGGGTATGTCAGAAGCCAACAACAGTAATAACATACAAGTTACATGTAAGTACAGGACGGCGCTGTCAGACCCCAGACTGTTGTCCACCTGCACGGTCACTCGGAAAATGCCCACGTTGTGATACACATGCTTGATCCCATCTTCCATGGAGCTGAGGTTGACGTAAGACACGGCGATGCCATCCCCAAAGTCCACCTGGATGAGAGTCTTCTGCACGTCACCCTGAAAAACGACACCAGGGGGGAAGGGAGTGAGAGCCCTGTGGCAGGGCGTGTCCGGGCCCTGGCTCGGGCATGGCAGTGGTGCCACCGCCTCTAGCTGGAGCACCCGCCTGTGACAGCCTGCAGGTAGCAGTTTCGAAGATGGACGCCCTCCAAGGCTGAAGGGCACTGATACCAAACGACTCAAGTTTGGGAAATTAAGGTTTTGATGAGCAGTTTCAAGCTGATAGTTAGCTCCTCTGAGGGCTGCTTATAGTCCTGTCATCCACATGGGTACAAGGTGCACGCACACAGCTTGGCCTGCACTCCCGACACACCGCGCCATTCCTACCTGTTCAGAACCCCGATATCCCTTATTTTCCTGGCTCCTTAACTAGCTGAAGAAGGCTGGGAGACACCTGGGTTTACACCTGACATGGTGCTGGCTCAGTCCTACTATTAGTTAAGATGATTATATGCTTTAGTTAAGATGATTATATGCCTCTTCTTCTTCTTTTTTTTTTTTTTTTTATACTTCAATGACTTATACCATCGACATGGTCTGATTATCCTGGGGAGAAAAAGGGGCAATATTGATCCACTTTACAGATGAAGAAGTTGAAGTTGAGGCAAGGTCAAAGATTTGTTCAAGGTGTACAGCTAGCTGGTGGCAACTGTCTAGATCTGTGTCTGGCCTTGCTCGGCCTTCACTGTCAAGGGAACCTAGAGTTGTGAAGGACGCATTGTGGGCTCCTCCAGGCTGGACCTTTGTTATTTTATTTTTTAACTTTGGATACCCAAATATTTTTAACATTTGGATTTGGAAATTTGAGAATTTCTCAAATGCTGTCTCTATGTATACATGGCCTGGTTTATTCACCAAAGACAGAAAATCCATTTGTAGAAATCATCAATAAAGACATTCCGTATTAGGATAATTTGCCTTCCCATCTGCCCTTAATGCCTCAGGTAGGTCCTGGGTCCTTCTCAGTTCTTGGTTACCTCAGCTATGAAATGGGCATGATCCACTCACATAAGGGATTATAATCATGCTTGCTTAAGACATGAAAGATAACATGAGTGATTAGTATCATACGCTTTTCCACCAAACCAAATCAGTGTACAACAATGCAGCTATAAAAGATGCACAATATCCCATTGAAATCTGGATTATAATCATGATTCTAAATTCCCCACAGGTGCAGAAAATAAAGCCTGCTTTATAATATTCCAAGCCATTAAAAAAAATAGCTCTGAGAATTATAGTTGAGGTTCTTAAGAACCAAAGACTTCCATACCCTAGTGACAAACCCAGCTTCCCTCACCCAGAGACCATTCTTTAGCAGGCTTTTTGTTCTGCTCATTTTGTTAGCATTTCCCATTTTCTGGGGGAGAAAAAAAAACTCAAAAAGTTTTGAACAAAATGTATTTTTGATTAAGTAAGGTTCATATGGCATCATATTTTTTGAAAAGGCCAAGTTTAAAATGCTGACATTTAAAAGATTAATTCACAGAGAAAGGAAAAGCAGTTCAAATCCTATAAATCTATGTGACCTAATCCTTCGATCTGTGCCCCACCAAGCTTTGTAGGGGGCACCTGGCTGCTCACTCTCTGGAAGGACGTGGACAAAACTTCTCCCCTAGGGTGGACAAAGAAACTCCATTCAAAATGACAAAACAAATATCCAGACATAAGCCCAGACATTGTGCAATTACATGAATTCCCTTCCCTAATAAATATAAATGTCACCGTTCTTGCTGACTTGTCCTTCATTTGGACAAGCAATGTGGAACAATCAATTTTTCATCCTGTTTCTGGTTATTTCCATTCTTAGGTTTTCTGAACTTCCAACAGAAAATTATTGTTTAGCCAACACTAGGCATGAACATGGAGGAAGAGTTAATTTTATAATCTACTCACAATAATTAGGACAAGAGTCCCAAGGAATATCAGGACCAGATAGGATTAATCAGCGAATAAAAAAAAAGCAAGAGTTTTGAGATGGATGGATGGATGGGTGGATGGGTGCATGGATGGATGGATGAATAGGTAGACATATAGGCAGGTGGAGATAGAAATAAATGTATTGAGAATTCATAGTATACATTAAGGATCCTCATTTGCAAGAGGTCAGAAGAACATACACCAGCTGATTCTACTTCAGTGTCCCCTGAGAGAACAGCCACCCATGCAACTGGGAAAAGTATAACTCTGGCTGCCATTTTTAGTCTGCCTACATTGTCTTGCCCTCTATGTCTGAGAGTTACCACTCTCCTTTTGTGAATCTGAACACAGATCTCATCTATTACATAAATCTCCCAAGTTCTGTTTGATCATTTACTGACTGTCATGCTGGTCTTTCATAATTATCCATGCACAACAATGTTCTCTATGTATATAAGAGGTGAAGGGAGATAGCAATACAGTACTTGGAGTAGTGCATCTAATCAGTAAGTCTGCCACTACAGAGTGAAACTTTTAGGTCAATAGGGACATCTATTTCCTTCTTTCCCTCCTTCCATCTATCTGATATAAGCTATGAAAATAGTAGGTGTACCATGTACCTCACAGCTCATATAATCTAAGGCATGGGATCCCTTAATCAAATGTGAAGTCCCCAGAGCCTCCTGATGTGGGCACAGACTTTGGGCTTGCACCCTGCACTAGGAGACACGAGTATCAAGGGACCACCGCTGACAGCTGAAGGCAGCAGATTTCATGCCAGCTTCTGAAGCCTCAAATGAGCTTAATCCCGTGTTTTGGCCTTCAGTACTCTTGTGGGCCTGGTAATCCTAATACAACTGTACCACATCACTTTGGGGCTCACTTGTCAACATCCTCTGACTTCTTGGGGCTCTAATTACCATCCAAAACTGGAATGTCAACACATTTCAGAGAATAAGAAATAGAGCAAAGGGAAGAAAGCTATAACCTTTTGAGTAGGCAAACATCCCCTGCTTTGACCGACACGCCGATCATTCATTTATTCAACCAACTGCAGGTATTTATTCAGTGGCCGCCTTGTATCAAGCACTAAATGGGGAACCTTGGTAAGTAAATTGCAATCAACCAAAGAAAACATATGTGGCCTGGGCTTTCATGAACATACAGACTTTGATTACATAAAATCATTAGAGGGGATGAATAACATGAAGGAGAGGTATGTGGTACTGTAAGCTTGTACAATAGGGAGAGGTAGAGAGCTAAGAATCTGATGTGATTGAGAATGTCAAGGAACTCTACTCAGCGGAAGTAGTACCTGAACTGAGAAGGTTTAAAGGACTAAACTTACCAAGGGACATGAGTGAATGAGGTGGAGGAGAGGAAATTCAGGCAAAATAGGACAGAGGGAACCAGATGAGCAAGGGCCCTGTGGCAGAGTGGGTAGCGCAGTTAAAGAAGATTGATGAGATGAACGGAGCATGTTACAAAAGAGGATGTAGAGGAAAAAAAGTATTTTAGAATTTGAGGGCCTGATTTCTGATTTTGATCTTTCTCTTCAGGCCTTACAGTAATGGGTATCCATTAAATGTCTCAACAGAGGCTTGGGGGAAGATGGCATCATGATATTTTTAATTCCAAAAAATCACTCTGGCTACAATTTTCGAGGGTGAATTGGAAGGAGGCCCAAGTATTCTGGGAAGCCAATTAGGGGACAGGCGAGGGTAAAAGATGGTAGATTGAAATATGAGCTGTAGCAGGAAATTACATGCACCTTCCTGTCAGAATTAACTTTCTTAGTTTATTGGTTTTTGAAATCAGTAAATCTCAGCCTTTGATATCAGCATCTCTTATAGAATTAAAACAAAAAATGTTGATACCCACCTGACACCCGGCACCATCTCCTGGCTCAGGGCCTGTGGGGAGGAAGCTGTGGGGGCTTCCTTAATTCAGGGTTAATTGAAATTCCTTCAAAGTGAGTGGAGGCGGTAACAAGACACAACTTCCATGTCTCCCTACATTCCATTCCTGACTTTGAAGAAGTTTTCCTTCTGATGACAGTTTTGTTTTGGAGTGGAAAGCTGAGTTGGTATAAACTCTATATTCTGCTTTTATATCTTCCCTCTGGTACGGTGGTATCATGTTCAAGCCACAAAGAGAAGAACATGGGGCAATAATAGGTACTTGTCTATAATAGTCAGGAAAATCTTCCTAGATTTGAAAATAACTACAATCCAACTAGTCACAAGTCATCACTATTCCTGAAATAGAACCCATGATTGAAAATATTGCAACTATCATACACAAGTCTTTAGACCTAATTCCATTTATTCATGCATGAGAATACAGATACAGAACTGAGAACATGAGCTCAAAAGAAGAGCTCCAGAAAGGTACAAAATCATATGAAATTCATATGGGGATTCTCCAAGGGCATCACTGACTTGTGTGATAGAAAAACGATATATCAAGCGGCCACAATGAAGCCAAGATTAACCTGAAAAATGAAAGGTGTGTGAACCTATCAGTTTCTGTAATATGGCCTCAGAGAAAAATGGGGAAACAAATGTTACAGTAACCCAACACTGACAGCCTTCCTCATGAAATGAAAGTCTAAGATGCCGCTAAAGGCATTAGGGACCCACTGCTGGCAGAAACTGGGTTCATATGTCAGAGTCTGGTCCCTGCAAAGCTCAATAGTGGGCTTGCCTGAGGCTTCACCAAAATCTTAACACTAAAAGACTCAAGCTGTTAGAACTGACCTAGTTACATGACTAGTTTGAACCAAGTTCTTCTTAATTCTGAGTTCAGTACTCAGACTTGTTGACAAAAGACTGTTGCAAGGATTCTATTGTGCTCATTCCCAGTGCTGAAGAATGGGTTCACTCAAGTGAAACCAGGGAGCTTTTGCAAATGTCAGCAATTAAAACTCTTTGGAGGAATGCCAACTTGTACCAAAATTTTTATTAAATAGTGAAGTTACAGAACCCAAAGCTCGTCTAGCTACACATGCTCTATCTTCTCAGGCAATATCTTGATTCTTCCTGGTACTTCTTTCAAGAGGTGCAGCCATTGCTGAA